CACCATATACAAGAATAAACAGAATGGATCAAAGCTTTAAATGTAAGACCTGAAACCATAAAACTCCTAGAAGAAAACATAGATAGTAAACTCTTTGACATTGGTCTTAGCAATATTTTTTTGGATATGTCTCCTTAGGCAAGGGCAACAAAAGCAAAAATAAACAAATAAAGCTACATCAAACTAAAAAGCACAGTGAAGGAAATCATCGACAAAATGAAAAGGCAACATACTCAATGGGAGAAGATATCTGCAAATGATATATCTGATAATGGGTTAATATCCAAAATATATAAAGAACTCATACAACTTAATATAAAAAAAATAATCCAATTAAAAAATGGGCAAAGGACCTGAATAGACATTTTTCCAAAGAAGACATACAGATGGCCAACAGATACATGAAAAGATGCTCAACATCACCAATCATCAGGCAAATGCAAATCAACCACAATGAGCTATCACCTCACACCTGTCAGAATGGCTATTATGAAAAAGACAACAAATAAGAGTTAGTGAGGATATGGAGAAAACGGAAAACTCGTGCACTGTTGATGAAATGTAAATTGGTGCAACCACTATGGAAAACGTATGGAGGGTCCTCAAAAAATTAAAAATAGAACTACCAAACAATCCAGCAATACCACTTCTGGGTATTTACCTGAAGAAAACAAAAATACTAATTCAAAAAGATATCTGCACCTCATGTTCGTTGCAGCGTTATTTACAATAATCAAGATATGGAAGCAACCTAAGTGTCCATCAACAGATGAATGGATAAAGATGTGGTATATATATACAATGGAATATTAGTCATAAAAAGAATGAAATCGTACCATTTGTGACAACATGGATGGATCTAAAGGGTATTATGATAAGTGAAATAAGTCAAACAGAGAAAGAAGAATATCGTGTGATTTCACTTAGTGTGGAATCTAAAAAAACAAAACAAACAAACAAAACAAAACAGAAACAGACTCATAGATACAGAGAACAAATTGGTGGTTGCCAGAGGGGTAGGGGTTGGGGAGAAGGGCAAAATAGGTGAAGGGGATAAGAGGTACAAACTTCCAGTCATAAAATAAATAAGTCATGGGGATGTAATGTGCAGCGTAGGGAACATCGTCAACAATATCGTGATAACTTTGTATGATGACAGATGGTTACTAGTCTTATCAGGGTGATCATTTTGTAACGTACATAAATGGTGAATCACATGTTGTACACCTGAAACTGATACAATATTGTATATCAACTATACTTCAATTAAAAATAATAATAATAATAAAATAAAATATATAAATAAAAGACCCTCTCAGCTCCCTGGAAGAAACACAGGCTGCTACTGATGATTTTTGCTGCCAAGGATACAACCGTGCCATCTAGTGGTGACTCATGTAAACTGAAGGCAGTTGATCGTAGTTTTGTTTTTTTTGAAAAAAGCAAAAGGTCCCTTTTAGTCATAAACTATCACGGCACACCATTGCACACAATGGTCCCACTGTACTTTCTCTACCCACTCAGTGAGGTTTAGACTGAGACTAACGTGAGTCCTCAATGTAACAGATGAATTGAGAAATGGCTTGGATGTGTCGTATTGGGTCTGTCCTCTATTCTGTGAAGAAATATCACTCATTCACTCTCTTAGTTCATCCACCCTCTCATCCACTGTCACCCATCCATACAGACCATTAAGCACCAGGTCTGACAAAGCAAAAACACACACACACACATAAAGTCACTGACATGATTAACCTGTGGGAAAAAAAATCTTAGTAATGATACAACAATAAAATTATAAAAGCTATTTATATTGAATCATTTCCCAGTTTTCACTTAAAATGTGGCTGGAAACATCATTGTAAATCAAATCATATTTTCACATTAAAATGCTTTGACCTGATCAAATACTTAGACTTGAATAAATCATTCATATGATCAGTACAGATCCTTAAGGGCAAGTGACAACATTTTCATATTGTGCTCTAAGAATTAAAAATAAAAATTTTTAAAGTTCTGTATATACAATGATACTATATAAATGAAATTTATAGCTGAATTAGACATTTATAAATAATACTTTGCTAGGTATAACAAACATTAAACACTTAAATAGCAAAAATCTTGTCAGCAGTCTAAAAATTTAGAAGGTTTTTTTGAGGTCTCTCAATAAAACAATAATGCAAAGCATGCAGTGAGGCCTTTTTATTTATTCGGTAAATTTCTCCATAGTAAGAAAATGGATTCAAAATCTTTGTATTCAATTTATCATAGCATTTTTCAAAAACAGTCTATAGCTCTACGTTTTGCCATGAGATGGCAAATCTATGCACGGGTAAATAGTAAAATTTTAAAAGCAATGTCAAAAAGAGATGAAAGATGATTTTTACAACATATAATATTGTTAAACAGTTTTATTTTTAGGGATAATTTAATTTTTATTACAAATCAAGGGGGAACAAAAAGGAAGGGAACTAATAGTTACATGTTATCTCTTTAACTTCATAAAATCTCCTTAAAGGAGGCTCATAGGAGTTAAGTAACTTTGTCAAGGTCATAAGATGAGCCAGTGGAAGAGTGAAGAACTTGGTTTTGAACTTTTGTCTATCTGATCACAAATCCTGAGTATGTGAAAGTGTGCCTCCCATGGCGGTGCTCTCTTTTCACATAGAGATGCGAACACACACAGAATGTGAAATTAACAGAGGTCTCCAGTGTAGTTACCGACGTCATCCTAATTTTGTTAAACTTATTCTATTCTTCTACCTATTTTATCCTATAATAGATTTATCCCTGCAAAACTCACTAACCCTTAAACTCCCTATAGTAAGAAACTACTATAATGGAGAAGCAGAATTACTTTAGTTTTCCACATATATATATATGTAAACCTATATTATGAATGACTACAATGGTGTGTATATATATATTTCACGTTCTTAAATTAGGAAAGAAAGAAAAAAGAGGACGTTTTTCTTCTTGGGTAATTTAAAATATGTTCGAATGAGCACAATACTTGAAAAGTACCCTGCAAATTGTAATTTTAGGAAAAGTACACTGCTATGTAATCATTTATGGCATTTACAGAAACAGATCACACTCTGGAGAGACGCTAGTGAACGATGGGTACACAAAACAGAACTGCGAAGGGGGGAAGAGAACTGAAACTTTAATTTTCAATCACCAAATTTTCAGAGCCTAGAGAAGATTTTTAAACAAAGGCCCAGTTGTAAGTCTGTTCCCATGAGACAATCCTACATAATTCAGGACACAGGAATAATGAACGCAGATGAGAGAAAATGGCTACAGCTTACAGAGGCAACTATGCAGAAGAGAATGTTTAGGCTACTCCGGAGATGTGGAATTTGAGGGGCAATTAAGTCAGCACACTGTTTGACCTCAGCTGCCTTTGTTAGCCAGTAGCTACAAGATTACCAACATAATTGCAATTTACTAATTGCCTGTGTATTTATTTCTTGAATGCCTATTTTTCCTACTTGAATGTCAACTCTATGAAGGCATGTGTCTCTCTGTTCCTTGCATGGTACCTGGCACAGAGCACGCAGGCATGCAATAAACCTCTCTCCCTAATTCATAGTTTTCTGTAGTCTAGTGTTTAAAAGCTTGGGTTTTGGAGTAGGGCGGAGCTAGATTGAGATCTTGGCTCTTGCACTTATGAGCTATTAGGGCCTCCGTTAAAAGGGCAGGCCTTTTAACTTCTAAGCGCCCAGTTTCCTTACCTGTGAAATGGGACAGTAATAGAACTTACCCCATATGGTTGTTGTGACAATTAAATGAGATAACAAGTGTAAAGCCCTTAGCACAGGGAGAGCACAGGGTGGTGGTGCTCCATTATAACGGATCTATCAGCCTTTATTGGGTAGTGGGAGCTGGGTTGCTCATCTGCTTTTAAACTTGAGTGTTCATTCGGACCATGTGGGGGAGCTGGTTGCAATGTAGAGCTGCACCCTGTCACCAGTCACCAGATTCTGATTTGGCAGGTTTGCAGGGAGGCTCAGAAATTTGCATTTTTAACAGGCATCTGGGAGTAATTCTGATGCACGGAGTCTGGACCACCCTTGGAGAAACACTGCTTTAGAAAGACAATCCTCAACTCCCAGATTTCTGAAGAGATGGACAAACTAACAGTCATCTGTAATACATGACTCTTGGGGTTGAATAATGAAAGTAAAAGAAGAACTAGCATCTTAGGGGGCAAAATTGAATAGATTTCATTAACATTCTAGCCTGAATAGCCAGCAAAATTTATGTTACTCCCATATTCACCAGTGACAGATCCAAGATGCCAGTCTACGTCTCCTCGATTCTTTCCAGTACTGTCCGCTTAACAACTGGACTAGGACAGGATCCTCATTTGCCTGCCTGGAGAACCATCAGTGTTTCCCCAGAGATATGAAGTTCACAAAAAGCAAACCAATTGTTGTAAAGGGGGGTAAGAATGCCTCTGATTTTTAAAATCAGTCTTCATCATGATTATTTTTATGCTGAGGGGCTGGGATCTTTAAACTCATTACGATTTATTCTCTTAGCTTTTAGATCATATTATTGGGATATAAATTTGGGAGACTAAGAGAAAGTCTTTTAGCCTTTTCTTTCTTTTTTTAGGCTTCTTTTTCTTTTTTTCCAAGTAAAAACTTTCTAACATAAAAGTGCTCTAGATAGACAATATACGTGTAAACGCTCGTCGAGACTATCTTGGCCTAGCCCAAGGTGTTAAGCACAGCCCTGGATTTCCTGAGCCCTATTCCCAATCCCTTGCCTCAGGTTTTTATTTGCTAATAAGTCAAGTGCTCCTAACGACACATTAACCCTTATAGATCAACTTAAAGACTAGTTTCCAGTGAGTTACTGAAGGCCAGCTGAAAGCTAGCCTTTAAGGTAATTTTTTTTTAAAAAAGAAAATAGAAAAGAAAAAAAGAGAAATATTCACTCATGAGTGCTTGGAACTCAAGATGCCCTAAAGTTGGAATTCCTCTTACCAGTAGGTTCTCTGGCTTGATGTCGCGGTGGACGATGTTCAGGCTGTGCAGGTATTTGATGGCGCTGGCCAGGTTGTACAGCATCCCACTGGCGTCTCGCTCAGTGTATTTGTTAGTGGAAGTAATGGCATCAAAGAGGTCTCCTCCCTAAGAAGAGAACAGCAGGCGGAGCAGCACATTAACAGACGGTCCAATGGGGCCTCCTGGAGAGGCGACTGACAGACTCTAAAGGAAATGAAGAATGCAGGCAGGATCTTTGGGTTCCTGAGGCTTTCCCTCTCAAAGGCTCAGAGATGTTATGGTGACTTCTCTCCCTACTGCAAAAGCCAGTGACATTTCCTCCAGACAGCAAAGGAAAAAGCAGGATGAGGATTCTCTGCCATCAGATAGGCAGCCATTTCCACAGGCCCCAGCCAGAGAGGAGAGGTGGAGCCAGGTCTTCAGGGCAGAGGCCTTGTGACACCTGGCGGTCCTGGTGACATGTGCTACACGCCTCATGCCAATTGCCAGCAGAAGTTCAAATTCATAATCCTAAACCTCCCAAAATGAGAAACAGGTAATACTGCAAACTGCGCCCTTAGCAAAATGTTCCACTGCCTTGTGAAATGAAGACACACACACACACACACACACACACACACACAGCCAATTCCCTCCCTGTCTCTAGATTTAGCTCTCTTGGAGTGGGCGTAGTGTTTTCTTTTTCAATAATGTGCTTCTTTGTAAGGCACAGAGAAAAGGACCAGAAACTGTCATTCCGAAGATGAGAGAGACAGGGAGGGAGGATGGTGGAGAAGTTTCAAAGAAAGTTTTCTAGGACCATTATTCACCTGAACTTTTGTTTCCTTTGTTCTTGGCTAATTTATTGTTATTTGGTGAAACAGAATGATTTTAGGCTCCAATTTTAGTTCCATTGATTTGAAACCCTTTCAGAGAATGTGGGTTTCAAATTCTGATTTACTAACACTGTTTGCATCATTCTCGCACAAGGCACCAAACAGCCGAGCACAGTAGCCAGTTGTGTTCATCTGTTACCTAATGTGGTAAGGGACTTAATTTTTCTTTTTAAATAGCAAAAGCACAACACGGCGCTTGCCGGCTGACAATGTTCAAACCTCACTATTGGGCTTGGCCCTCTGTTACCCTGTACAATCTCCACTGAAGAGGCTTCTCCCACTGGCCATTCAGCCTCAGCAGTTCCCAAACTGTTTAGATACATTTTTTTCAAAATAAACACTTTCTCAACTTGCTGTTTCTCTCTCAGGCAAGGCCACTATAAGCAGGTTTGCAGGTTGTTTCCATGCCACCCCAGGAGGCAGGATTTTCACCGTGGTCTATGTGAACAGCACCCCCGATGCAGTAGGGTGCCCATGGTGACCTGCAAAGACTCTATCAGTGTCCTAGTTATCTAGGCTCCAGGCATCTTGTAATCTCATTTCTTCTCCATCCTCAGCAAAGCAGTCAACAAATCCCACCAGCCCTGCCTTTAAGGCATGCCTCATACACATCCTTCTGGGGCACCGCACTCCACCGCCTGAGTGCAAGTTCTTGTTGCATCATCCCTGGTTTGTTGTCACACGGCCTCACAACCTGCACTGCTTCCTCGGGCTCTTTATCCAAAGCGTCCTGTGCACTGACTGTGACCTTCCCACATGGCATATCGATATTTTCTTTTTCTCTTTAAGAAATCGGTATTCCTTTCTCATGGCTCTCCATGTTCTGTCCCTAACCTCCATTCCAACTATCTACTTTCATCTCCTGCCACTACCCAGACCAGTTACCTTTACACTCCAGGCACGATATTTCTCCCCTGGTCACCAAAACAGGCCAAAATCACTTTGCACTCCAAACCCGTCCTCATGAGAGCCCCCTTCTTGGAAGGTCCCCTCTACTCCCTTTGTCTTCCTAACTCCTGTTGATCTCTTAGGGCCCGGCCGCAGGGTCACCTCCTCCACAAGGCCTGCCTTCCTCTGAACACATAAGTGGTTTGCATGTGCACACTTCTGCAGGCAGAATTCTAAAGTCCTATTCTTAATAATTATGGAATTTCACTCTTAATAACTGTTACTTCACTGTTTTCTGGAATACAGGCCTTATTTATTCTATAGCTTCAGGTGCTCTGGCACACCACTGGGCTCAGGGTTTAAGCAGCACCCCCTGGCTAAGTTTCTCAGGGGCAATGTTATGGGAGCCTTTCAAGTCAAGCTTGGGGTTGGCCTTCACTTCTTGGGACGCTTCCAGACCAGGCCTCACAGCTGTTCTCCATCAGACTGAACTTAAGGGTACTATCTGGTGGCACAATTCAGGACTCCCAATGCCAGACTATGTAGACACTCTCTGGCCTTGTTAGGCTATCTTGGTCACCCAGAGAGAATTTGCAAAGGCTGTTAAGTGAAATGAAGACCTCCCTAGTGGCACTTAGCTATTGTCACCTGACTAAGTATATGATTGACAATCAGACTAAGCTTTCCCACAAAGTGTGTTCTGAACTCTTAAACCTTTGCCTCTTTTATTTCTCACCTTCAAATTTAATTTGGTCTTAACCCTCCAAAAATCAGCCAATAACAGGGGGCTAATCAATTTTTAACAGCACACAGAGAGGCAACAGGAATGGTTTGAAGTTGTTGCTCTAAAAATTAAAGTCATTATAAAAATACTATCCTTGGTGCTGGAGAAAGTATAATTAAATTAGTTGGTAATTACTAAACTTGATTTGGTAATAAAGAGCCAATATGAAAATCTTCTAAATGCATGAAATCAACCTTTCCTTATTGGAATAACCATTTAACATTTTTATCTCCCTTAGCCTCAAACATGAAAATAACCTTGTGTTACTACAAACAAACAAGCCCCACCCCTCTGAAAGAAACAAATCCTAACTTGAAGTAGAAAAAAGTAAGCTTCATTTACAGATATGAACAACCACTAAGTAAAAGAAACGCCAACAGATCTAAAAGTAAAGTAGCTCTGAATAATGAAAGTTTGAAGGCCCTAGAATGAACATTTTTCTATATAGTAATAGATTCGTTTATTAAATGCTTTCTTTGTCTTAAACCTTCACAAAAGGAAACCCCATATTCCACAGTGCTGACTCCTGCCACCAGCTCGGGCGAGTGATTCCAAATATGGTTGCTGGAGCCCCAGGCTCTCGAGGATGGTGCACACAGTTGACGCAGAAGGTGATGCGACTAATTTACAACATTTTACAGCTAAAGTAGAAATTACACATTTAGTTAGATTAACTAATAGAAAAGTCTTGAGAAAGTATAACTTCATGAAACTAAACATTCAATTTTTTAAAACTTCTAATTACGGAAAATTTCAAGTATGGAAGTAGAGGGAATAGGTGGGTCACCTTTCACCTAGATTCAACCGTTATCAATATTTGGCCATTCCTATATTCTATGATTTAATAGAATAAAAATATAATTATACAAGAAAGGATGAGATTGTAACATTCACTGAAAGGTGGTAGAATATTCACATTATTATTAGGACTGTGCTCTTTTACTATTACTTTGGTGACTAAAAGTTTAAAGCTTGATTTTATAAGAATGGGTGATACCTTTGGATGTAGTTCATGGAAAAGGGAACACTTTCTACTACAATGATAAGAATAACAATCATATTGGTATCTAATATGTTCTGTGTCACACAGACTGGTGGAAGCCATCCCTTGTATCCCCATAATAACACTCCTAGTTAGGTACTATTATTATTCTCATTTTACATATGAGGGAACTGAGGCACAGAGAGGTATACACAAGTTCGGGGAGCTATTTAGGTCAAGGCTGAGACTTGAAGTCTTGCAGTATAATTCTAGTGTTAATACTCTCACCATTATGCCAGTGTATAGAAATGAGACTGAATATTGGAGGGAGGAAATAAAGGAGAGAGCTCTATTATACGGAAAAGTGTGGTGCCTTGCATAGGTATTTTTTTTCCCCCAAAATACACACCTTTACTAATTCCATGACAAGATACAGTTCAGTTGGCACATCCATCTCTTCAATCAGAAGAACGATATTGGGATGCTTCACTCTTCTTAAAATAGACACCTCGTTCTGGATCATGTGCTCCTGTCCAAGGGAAAAGTTACCTTAATCAATATACACATCAAAACATATGAGAAGCTAACTCAAATGAGTACAACTATACTAGCTGAGGATCAAGGGAGATGTATTTCGGTAAAATATAATGAGTATATCTTAGATTCTGATATTCAGATAGCCTAGCATTGCCACAAGATGTTGAAGGTCCTTACATGATGCTTATAATCAGAACCTATCGTGATAACTATCGTTTCATATAGAAGGATGGAATGAAACTTACATCACAAAAGTAACAAAAGAAAGTAAACAAGCAAGCAAACAAAGATAAGGAACATTCCAACTAACTTTTATTCCAGGAATATTTATAGAATAAAGTTACATTCTAATTAGTATATAACATTCTACTCCACTAAAATGCAACAACTAGGGTGAACTTCTGTTTACTTGGAAACTGATCTTTGTGTTTTTTTCTACCTCCCAAATACTGTATTTTCATAAGAATAAACCTTATACATACTTTGCCTCGACATTTGCTTTTCTTGATAATTTTCAGAGCATATTCTCTAGCAGTCGATCTGCAAAGAGACAGTTTTTTTAAAAAAAATAAACAATTTCAGATTAACAAGATGGAATCCCCTTGTTAAGGATTAATTTCTTACCGCACAGATCTTGCTTCATGGCATAAATATTTTGTGAAAAACTCTCTTTCCCTTTTTTTAAAAGAAATATGTATACTTTTAGGGGCTGACCAAATGTAAGGACAACAAATATGCTAGCATAGAAACACCTGGAGCTGTTAATGTTGCCATACCTGTAATAAAAACACTTTCTATTGCTACTGCCATACCTAACTCCTCCTGCTAGGTTGCCCTGCCCTGCCCTTCCCTCTGAAGTGGTGTGGCCGGGACATAAAGCAGACATGAGTTTCTGCCCTTCTTCCCAGTTTCTCTTGAGGTTCTCTATCCACAAAGTGCGGCTATGACAGTTTTCTGAACGGTTCTCATGGTCACATTGAAAACTCTCAAGAAGGAGTTCACACTGTATAGACTTCGGTTCAGTGTGCAAGCCTCTGCATTCTGCTGGAGAACTCATGGATGACGTGTTCAAGGTGTACAGAAAGGGATAAACTATTACCTGAGCTTCCTGTGACCTCTTGGGCCTTTTATGGCTGTCTCATTTCATAGAAATAAAATGCAGGTGACGATTAAAATCAACTCACTTTCCCAAAGCCATAAGGCAGCGTTAAAATCAGGACTGAGTTCTTGGGGTCTCTGTTTCACATATAGCCCAACCAACAATGCCCCTCCTCCATGATGGGTGTGGGAGGGAGGGTTTAGTCATATTGTTACCTTTAAATAGCTTCCTAATTTGTGTTAACATTTCTAAGATACTCTAGCGCCAAACACGACACACAGCTCTATTGTCGAAGGAAAAAATGCATGCTTAATAATCATAATAAACCACTACTTCACAAGCACTGCCATTTCATTTCTGGTGGGAAACCAAGATAGCCTTGCGTTTTACCCACAGATAAAAGCCAATTTTAGGTATCCAAATGAATACAGTGGGAGCGAGGCTGATTAGGAACAAAATTTTAAAATAGAGTTTTACAGTCTTCAGTACGGAGAATCAAAGGGGGATTTCCTAGTTACATGGTTAGGACAAGACAGTGATTTGCCCACAAACAAATTAAGAGGCCAGATATTAACAATATGTTTCAAGTGCACTTTAGAAACTATTCATGTCATTTGCTTCTAAAAATGCTTCTCTCATTACACTTCCAGGCCCCTGCATGGTGCTAGCTTGCAGAAAACAATAAACATTGACCAAATTGTTATAATTATATCTGGTGAATAAACCTAGAATAAAATAAACACTTTGAAGCCCATTTTCTCCACTAAAGGGCTTTGTGGCTCAGATGGGAGGAGGTAAACCTCTCTGCCTCAGGGTGACTCTCCTGCAGAGGTGTGGGGTGTCCAGATGAACACAAATTGCCTCAGCTTCATGAAGAAATGGACTCAGAGGCCCGAGGAGGCCCCTCCCTCTCGGCCTTTGTCTATTCTTTAGGCTCACGGCTGGGGTGAGAGGCCATGACAGAGGAGGGGGTGAGCAGGCCTTGGCTAAATGCAGGGCTTGGGGTAACAGATGTCCCCACATAAACACCAGACCATCAGCAAGGCCGTGGGGTAGGAGTGAAGAAAAAACACTTCAGTAAAAGGGAAAACGAAATATTTAACATTAGAAATTTAAAATGTACGAGCAAATAGATAAATGAGAAACTAAAATTACTCACAGAAGGGGATTCCTCACATCATAGAAGGATCATGGGGTCCCTTTAAGTAGCCTCTTTTTAAGAGGCTTCTGAAGAGTTTGTTTGCAAATTTAAAAATGCTTAATCAAGAGGAAAACTAAAAGCTGATGTGTTTCTGGATTCTGCTTTTCATGAATCATTAAAAAATTATGATAAAGCAAATCTGAGATTAGAATACATGAGCAATTTCCTATCTGGTTTAAAATGTTTCATTTGCTGGCAAGGGAATCTAGACTCTTGGACCGACTGCTTGGATAAAAGCTAGCAGTCTCAGGCAGAGGTAGAGAGCTGGGATGGAGCTGATGCTTCCACTCAGCGCCTCCACAAAGGGAGGGATGGACAGGATGGTTTTGGTAAGAAGAGAGGGGGCTTTCTTAGGTTGGTCATTCCCCATGTTTGCCCCTTGAGCCTCTGTTTCCCTGGAATGAGTCACACTGAAGCTTTGCCCTACTCAAGGTAAAGGGCTGGTGTGGGACCCAGAAAGGCAAAATCTCCTCTCCAGCCAGACAGATAGGGAGCAGAATCCCCAGGGAGCTAGTGGGTATATGGCTCCCAGGACGCCAAATCATGGGCTTATGTCCTGAGCCTTATACAGCTGACGGGAAAATACAGCAAACCTGGGCTTACTAGGAAAAAGGACCTGTGGGTTCACTATGCAGAACCTTACATAATAGGATCAAACATTCAATGAGATTTATTCTTTTTTTTAATATCAGACAATGAGCCCCGTAGAGGACCAGCAAAATAACTACTGCAAGTTTTCATTCTTGATTCCTTGAGGGAAGAACTCTAAAGTCATAAGACAATCCTTAATTACTGGAAGTATATATTTATAGGCAAGTAGCCGAGTCTGGAAAATGAGCCTGAAAACATGTGTTAGGACTAAATGCATACCGTAAGAATAAAACGTAAACTTAAAACTTTAACTGCTTGCTTTAAGTTGGTAAATGAAAACACTTTCCAAGAAATAAAACCTTAAATAAAGTGTTTGCATTCCTACATGCCCTAAACTCTGAGGACCCCTGTGGCCACGTAATTATTCAGCTGGCAGTTACAAGCGTGGTTCATCGGTGGCTACAGAGGGGAGCCAGACCCCGTCCTTGTCCCCAAGGAGTCTACAGTTCGTTGTATTGAGAAGAACACTAGGCACCTGGATTGCTGGTGAAAATACAGGCCATTCGCTTGTTTGTTCCCGAAATTACATTCTTGACCTTTTATGGAATTAGAGAACCCTCAAATGCCACAGCAAAAGCAGCAGCAGGACAAACTTTGTTTTCTTCCTTATCTACAGGAACTCAGTTTGTAAGGTCTCCTTCTTATTAAGTTTGACCCAAGGTTAGATCCTGAACTACTAGAGAGAAGTTTCCAGATTTTACAAACTTGAACTAAATCTAATTTTTAATGTTGGTGCTAAAAATGGCTTGGAGAAAGCTGTCTTATTCAAGATTCTCAGGGCAGTCTTCTCTCCACCCTCAACTCTCAGCCCAGAGGGCAGCAGAATGCTTACTGAAAGAGGAACGTGCTGACCAAGATGGGGTGCCCTGGACTAATGCTTTTAGTTATTGTTTGCTATGTTTTGAAGGTTTCTAAAAAGAATGTATGGAAAAGGAAAAACAGTTCTCAGGCATTCCTCTTCCATAGCATTTATTGAATTCCAAGGCAATCCTTTGTTTATGGGTCAGGTTCTCAAGCAGAGAGGCTGTGTCTGTCTCTCTTGGTAGCCCCCGAAGTGCCCAGCGTAGGCCTGCACTATCAGGGGCTCCAACATGTTAGTGGAGTTGGGGAAACTCCAGAGGATGGTGGCAGTTAGGACAGTGACAGGAAGACCCCCCAGCAAGAGGGGTTAGTAAACAGTACCTTTGTTTACCAAGTAATCATAATGAAGCCCAATCTCAGCCTCCTCCCCAGTTACTGCCAAGAGCAGAGAAAACATCTTGGGAATGGTGTTTTATTTTGAATTTGACCAGGGGTCTTGCGGTAATCAGGTGCCAGAGAAGTCTCAGGAAGAAGAGAAGGAAGAACATTACCAGCTAGCCCAGAAACATCTAAGCTTCTTCACTCTGACTCACCCTCCAAATCCACTTTAGAAGGAAGTGCCTTGAAACCATAGGTACAAAGTTCTTGAGAATTCTGAAGATTTTCTAGGTGGATACAATCCATTTTGGTGACACTAGAGCCTTGGGTCATTCAGGTGGGTTTGAGCCTATGTTCACTGCTAGAGCCAGCAGCTGTGTTGTGCCGTTCTTCAGGTTTATAGGTGGAGGAGGGAGAGAGGGAATCATGAGTAGCTAGAATTTTCATACAATTCTTATGCCTACATTACTAAAAAATGCCGGCAGTGCAGGTGAGGAGGAGTGCCAAGAGCCACCTAAGACACCACCACTGCTCATCACTGCTTCACTGTACCCTTGGCTTGTATGGTAATTAGTCCACATGAAGCCAAGGAAGCCAGAGATGAAGGGTACCTCATAGTGAGCCCTCTACTCATGCTCTGACCTCTTGTTAGTGCTTTTCAGCTCTTTGAGTCTTCTCTGGGGCCTCAAAATGCTCCACAAAACAGCTTCAAAATAGAGAACATCTCAGTCCACCAACTTCCTTTAGCATGTGTGAGGGGCTCCTGAGGACACTGGAGAAATTGCTACTGGGGGACAGGCAGAAATCAAAGTGGACCTGGCAGCCACTACCAAAGGATATGCTGGCACAGGACCACAGAAAGAAAGGACCGTGCAACACTGTTATTGTAACCATTGTCGCAGGAAAACCTTCCCCATGACAGCCCGTTATTCACAGAGGAGGGACATACTTGCTCTTGTTAATACATACTCATCCTTCATAATATGGCAGAATGTACCCGCAAGCAGCGTGTGCCATTCACAACATTCTTAGCTCGCTTTTATTTTCTTGGACCTCTGGAAAGTATTCAAAGAATGTTTTGTGATGCCTATGGGGAGAGAGGGCACATGCCATATGTCCTCATTCAGCGGGAGCAGAATACTAACACTTTTTGGAGCAATTTGGTGTTTAGACTTTGAAGGTTCGTATAATGAGACTCAAGATGTGAGCTCGTGTAAAATGAACACAATCCCAACTAGGAAGAAATAAATTAATTCTGGATGGAGAAATGAGAAGTTTCTATCGTGGGAAGACCAGTACTGTTGGACTAAGACGCCATGGTGATCCATGTACTAGCTAGGAGAAACAGCAAATGGACCATGGCCGCCATGCCAGACTCAACAGATGATGAACGCTGAAAAATAACCAGATACCCCACAGTGGAAGGACATGGCAATCTGCTAAAAATGGCATTTTCTGCTACAGTGGAAATAAAGTTAAAGAGGGTTGGATTTACTATCAGTAAAAGTATAAATGAAATATAAAATTATATAAACACACACACACACATACTTCCATCCATTACCTTAGGAATGGCTTTCCTGATTTAATTTCTGTCTTCTTTGTACAGGGACAAATGTGGTGTGTATGACTTTGGCTCAGCTAAGCCACATTCCCATGGGAGACTCCTTACTGGAGGCAGTGGAGTAGAGTGGTCAAAAGTGTGGGTTTTGGAGCTGGGCCCGGTCCTATGCTGTGCTAAGTACTTACTAGTTGAACAACTTTGGGCATTTAACTTCCCCAGGCTTTCTTTGTATAAAATGGAGACAACACTGACATTACGGGATTGTTATGATAATTAAATGAAATGTAAGTGAAGGGCCTTGTATATAGTTTATGCTCAGTAAACAGTGTTTGTTCCTGTTTTTGGAGGTGTAAGGCCCAAGAAAGTAATGGGAAATTGCTATATGTGGCGTAAAGCAACAAATGGTCAAGTTCTGTTGTAAGAGTGGGGTATTAAGGGGAAGAGAGGAGAAAGGGTGGCCTTAGCAGTATCAACTAAGGGATTTTCAACCTACCTATTACCCATGCCCCTCCCTCACAAAGGGTGGCTGCTATAGTGGGTCGCTGTCACTGTTGGGAACATCTTGGCTCAGCTGGTACATTGGGGTGGAGCAAAGTTTGAGATCCTCTGCTTGAGAGTAGCTGAAGGAGGGCTCCACTACCTTAGTCAGGGAAGCATCTTCCGAAGAGTAGCAAAAGTTGCAGGGACCCTCATGGTGTTCAAGGCCCTGTGTACACGTCCAGCTCTAATGTGGCATGAATCTGGGCTTCCAAATCAAAGCCCTTAGAGAAGGACCTGTTCTGGATCTCACAGGCTAAAGCCTCTAGTCCGAGGCATCCTCTCTGAGAGGCAGCGTGGAGCTTAGGAACATTTTTCTCACACAGTGTTGATGAACTGGTAGGGTGCACAGCCCCATGGCGGGCAGAGAAGAGTAACAGGGAAGGGTGCACACCCCAGGCCAGCCCCCAGGAGACAGCAGACACACGCCCTCCAGGAATGAGGCCAGTTCCCCCTGACTTTTCAATACCCTGCTTATCCAGCTCTGAGAAGCTGCTGGCTGCCCAGATCCCCTTAAAGCAAGCAACTGCTCAAGAAACGAATTCCAAGTCTAACGCTGGGTCTAGGGTTTGAGGCGGTCTTAATCCAGGCTATAACTTTGTTAGTTGTCACTTCTCCCTGTAGTAGCCCCTAGCTACTGTTCTTGATTAGGTATCAAGATCCCAGGGATAAACCTTTCTCTTTAAACCCTTCCCTTTGGTTCACAGGAGTACCTGGCTCATTCACTTTAAAACATTTTAATGTATTGAATGTCATTTTTGTTGGGATCAGTACATAAGCATTTTAAAGCTTTTCAAGGTTATTATATTTAATTTTATGAAAGTACATGTTAGAGATATACACTCCATACAAGAACGTTCTGACCTCTACAAAACGCCTCAAAAAAGTGTAGAAAACACTATTCAAAGTTTTTTTTTTTAAACAAAATAAAAGGACTTAACTGAAAGATCTGGCAAAGCTTTGCTGAGTACATTAAAAGAAAAATCAAAGTCCTTAATTTATAGATCGTCCAGGAATCACTACATTTTTCAAATCTGTTGTTAAACGGGCTTTTCTTTTTTAAAATTTTTTTACATCTGGAGTTGAGACATTAACCTATTCCATATGTGCCACAGACTGCAAATAAAGACACAATCTCGGAAAACACAACACCAAATATTTCCTTTCAAGTTCAGTGCAAATGGTATCTTGCTCACCTTTCTACACATTCCTTGACAACAGCAAAATTTCCATCTCCTATTGTCCTTCCGACTTTATATCGTTCTGTTATTGTGGCTGGAATCTGGAAGCCTTCCTCTGACACTTCTGAAAGAATCATTAGTATGTTTTTATTGGTAGAAAAGGGAACACAGATGTTGTACAAAGGAGACATTTAGAAGTATCATCTAATTGACTGGAACTGATTCAGAATCAATATGTCATTTCTGTACAGTGAGGCCAGCCCCTCTGCTGACACTGTATACTCAACAGTTTTTACCAAGACAAATGATAAACCAAAAAGAAATGTAAAACGTACGGGGTCTACTTCCACCTATTTAAGAGCAACTTATGCTTTCTGTTGTGGCGAGGATTCTGAGGAGGAGGTTTTGTTCTTTTTATTTCATGCCAATTTGATCAATAGAGTTTACTGAATACCCACTGTGTACAGAGAAATGACCTTCCTAGGAGGAAAATGCAGTTCGTAAGGGCTCTGGGCTGCCCAACACTGTACAAGCATGAAAAATGCCTGCTGTTTGGACCCTTAGCTTTACTACATCCTGAAATGGAGATCTCCGTAAAATTCCTGATGAACTAAGCTCTGATTGCCACCCCTCCTCAGTATCAATGAGCAGATTGTAGACAAATGGTCTCACCAGCAACCTGCGTAGCAGATGTTGAGTTAAAATTGCAATACCTATTATGTCTGTGAACAGAACAGTTTTGTAGTTTCAATTATGTTAGTGCCGCTAACACAGCGCATTTTCCCTCTTAAAATGCATTTTGAAATATTTTACAAATGCCTAATAATGCTTTAAATATCTAAGGCCATAAAACTAAATAAGCCACGCTTAGGTCACATAAATATAGTGGATAACCTTTAACATCTTAGGGGTGTAAAAAGCCTTTTATAGCCGGGCTCTAAAATTTACATGATTTAAAGTTATAAATCCTAGCTCTCCCTCAGGCAACCTGAATACAAAATGGATGGAAGCCTAGTGTGCTGTCTAAATGTGCTCCTTTTCTGACCTTTAATCATAAACCGAGACTAAATACTTTTTCTCAAAATAAAATCAAAACCTTAGGTGGCGAACGGCCTTTCTTGGTGATTTTCATATTCTCCTTTAGTCTATATTGTTGGGAACGACAAAGGGAAACACACGATGATCAGACATTTGCTTTAGGACCCTTATTCTGGTTTTGTGATAACGCTTAACCTGCACCTCTGGATTCTAGAGTGGATGAAATTTCTGGAAAGCGTTGTACAAACATAGGACATGTGCTGCTGTACTTTTGCCCTTGACATACGTGCAGCCTCTTCACCTCTTTACGGGTGACATTTTACTCTTAACCCGCTAGAAGCAAGCTCAGTGGTCTCCAGATAAAATGAGAGCCGGAGCCAATTACCACCCCCCACCCTCGCCACCTCACCCCCAAAGAAGCCACAATTTTGCCTCTGAAGGACTCAGCCTGGGGATTTTTGTCTACTCCATGGATACTAGAGGAGATGGTTGGAGAAGTTTCAAACCCACTGCAAAGCTCCGAATTTACAAAACATCTCTCAGCTGACACGGTCTTAAGGTTCTTTACTACAAGGATAAGAAAAGTAACCATTCTTGGCTGTCAGGGGCAAGTCTGACTTTAGATGGGAAATGGAAGGAGGTACTTCCATCTTTTCTTCCAGTGGAGCATCACTGAGGCGTCTATCCGGAGCACATGGCTTGGGATTTTTTTCCTGACTATTGATAAAATGTATATTTTAGGCTTTTGGCTAAGAAGGCTTAGCCAAAGGCTTAGTCAAGGACCCTCATTTCATTAGGTAAATAGTACACATTGGAACAAAAGAGACTTCTAGATGGCTGAATTTCTGACTTCTGGAAATACAAAAAAAGTCTGATACTGCATGGTAGTCAGGAAATAATTCTTGGGTAAGTCACATATCTCACGTAACATAATAAAAGTGCTTGCCCCAAAAGGTACTTTTTTGGAAAATTAAATCATATCATTTAAAATAAATAAGGGGCACTGATTCTTTAACAGTGGCTTGATCATATCAGTTTTATACTTTCCCCTAAATACTGTCCCATAATTGATTTGAGCCTGATAACAACCCCCAGGGAGGAAACAGCCATGTATTACAATCTTCATTTTATAGAAGATGAACTAAGACGTGGAGAGCTGAAGAAGCTTATCCAAAACAATCCAATGAGTTAGCAAAAATGTCAATTCTGGAATCCAGGTCATTTAACCACATCACAGAGAAATTCTAAAGCAAAATAACTTAAGGTACAAAGAATACTTTTGCAATTGTCATCAATTAGATCTTTTTGTAAAGCCGTATTTTCACATATTGAATTCACTTAAGTTGGAGTACATCTGCGGGGCTGTAACAGTCAATCAAGAGAGTAAATTGTCTTTAATATTCTTAAAGTGAACAGAATTTGGGAAAACAAAGGCAGCAATTACTCCCTTTGTTTCCAAAGTGGGCAATAGCTGTCCTTCTAGGATGCTTACACCCTCAGAGGATGTGAAATGTCTCCAAATTAGGCTAACTCCCTCTTCCTGTTCCCATAACGAGACTGTGATCCCTGGTGGGAGCCATATTCAATTCTCCCCCTTGCTATGGCCCTTATGAGCTACTTCGGACTTGTCTATTCCTTCTGCTTGAGAAGTTACAGTTTCCTGGAATAAGTTTAGCCAACCCATCCTCTGCCCCCTGTACAAGCTGAGCCTTCTCCTCATACACCAAGTCCCAAGCTCACCACCTTCTCCAGGTCCGTCGTTCTCGTCCATTGAGCTGCAGACTTTGGTGGATGCAAGTGAAGTAGAGGAGCCGCCATGTTGAGAGCTCTAAGGGAACAAAAACAGACAAGAAAAACACTTGGTCAGAGGGCCCGAGTCTCCAAGTGCTATGCCCAGCCCAGATTCTCGGGACATAACTTCGCCCACTACCAGGGAGGATTTGGTCTTAATACCTGGAAAGGGAGGTTCTTAGACTATTCAATTAGGACTACCTTTCCCTCCCATCCTATTAACCAATAATAGATGGCGTTAACTGTGTCAGGCTAATCATTGTAAATTTGGACGTTCCATGACTTTTTATTCTTTTTTCTCAAAATTAGCATCCTTTAGCTCACTGTTTAGATTTGGTAGATTTTAAGCATCTCACCTCACTCTTCCACAGTCTATCTGCAAACAGGCCTGAGATATGGCACCATTCTGATCTCATCCAATATTTTTTCTACTCTTACCATAGAAAAAAATTTCTCTTCAGTTTGTTTTTATGGAATATCCTAAAAAAAAAAGTCAGCCTTACCACATTCTTGGAGAAAGGTTAAACAGTGGGTTTGTTAATTCCACTTTGAGATAAAGACACAAGCACTAAGCAGGTTACTGATATGTTAAATGTTACATAATAAGTCTGAGGCAAAGACAGGACTAAAAGCCTAAGCTTGGTGATTCCCTTGTATTTTTAGTGAATTTTGACCCAAGACCCATGAAAGCAAACAGGGTAACAACTATATGACAAAGCTCAGAGGATGAAACAATGCCAAATATTTAATACTATGATCAGCCACGGGTAGTACTTTAACAATGAATCTTTCCATGCCTGCATCTATTCCTTGAGAAAACAATTTGCACATTTCAATGCTTTTTCTAAATAGTGAACACAGCTTGTCCTAAAAGATCTTCCTTCTGTTTCCCTGGGTTTATCCACTTGGTTGGCCTGCTGGGAGCAGGAGGCGGTGAGGGGGCGGCATTGGCTCATGGTGCTGGCTGTCTGTGGAGCAGAGAGAAGGGAAAGAGCATCTGTAGTTGAATTAATAATGAAGAGGTGTTGAGAAGTAAAGTTGACCTAGTTCTCCTCTGCTTACCTGTCTCCCTTCAACCTCCTCCCCATTCCATCCAGCCTTAACTGTGTACAAAGTAGGAGAAAGAGAAGTTTTACATAATTTCATTATGCCCAACAGTATCTTGCATAGGGAATTCAAAGATTTTAGTTTTCACCAAAAATTAATTTAAAAAATTAATATAGTTAGAGAAATGCTACTTCAATCACTGCAGGGTCATTTGAGTCAACTCCATAGGACATTTTCCTGTGTGTGGCTAAGATGAGCATGTCCAGTGGACGAGTTCATCAAAGCTGACAGTTGACACAATTGAGATAAAAGTTAAATTCATGGCAGTGATGCATCTGCTTTCTTATAGGACATTCTAGAAGTTTTGTGGTTACTTTAGTATACCCCTGAATGCCACATTGTCCATACAAGCTATGTGCCCTTTATTTTCCAATATCACAAGAATCCCCCATCAGTCAGCCTGGTGACTTGAACTGTTTTTCCACCCTCTCATCCAGCCTCCCTTTGTGACCAGCAGTACACATTTGTCCTACGTCAGCCTAGAAAGAGGGATTCAGATTGTGACCCTGAAACAGAGTTTTTCTGGGTGTGACACTATGTAGTCATAACCGACTCTGTCAAAGGTACTGTAAATGTATGAGATATGCTCTGCTGACTTTTACAGATGTCTGTGAAAATCTTGTATTTATAATATTGGAATACAAGGCTGAGACAAGGCAGATTTATGATGTCAATGTCTGGAGAAAATAAACATTAACATTACCACACTTGAGGGGACGGTTGTATGTTTTCCAGAACAGCGAGATCTTTTATCCCCTGTGTCATTGCTTTTGCTGTAGAAATAATGATATTCCAAGCAGAAAAGCAGTTAGTAAATGTCTAAAATGTAGACCTTCTCTTCTGGGCTTTCCGATCCTTGAATTTCTTCCAGCAGCATGGCAAATGGTGTTTAAAAATGTAGAGACATTTTGGTTTGGGATGGCAGGTGCTGTCTTGTCATCTGGTGTTTTAAATTTTAGAATACAAAGACACACTCTTTCATCAAGCACCCAAATTAATAGACTAGCAGTGTGTTTCCTAGCAAAGATGTCCACAATTTATGTACTCAATTCCAAAAGCTTGTTCTTTTAATAAGAACATCAGATACTCAATACAGAACTCTGACCCAAAGTATATGAAAACATCTTTTAAACTGTAATGTTCTATAAACTTGCTGGATATTATTCACTAAATTGCCTTATTAACTAATGAATTGCATTTTCAACAGTGCCACCAAATGTCTGATGCCCTGAATGCTTGCCACAATGCCAGCTGTGTTTTCTCTATCTTATGGACAAAAACCCCTCAAAGCTTTTAGGCTCTGGTTGAAAAAAAAAAAAAAGTAGGGTTAACACAATTCTGCTTATGTTTAAAATTGCTTATTTTCAACTTTAGGTTTTAAAACATACCCCAAGTCATTTCAAATTTCATGCTGTCTGAGGGTAACAGACAATTTTAAGAGAAAAGCTTATTACAAATAGAATGCTCTGAAAATGGAAAGTCCTCTTTTACTTATTATGCTCAAATAGAGTAAAATAAATGTATTAGATTTCTAATGGTGTTATCTTTTCTTTTCCCCAAAGAAGTAAAATAGTTAACATGATACACTTTTCCAAGACAATGACCATTCATGGATTCAAAGAATTTCAGGGACTGGAATGGACCTTAAATATTACCTATTCCATAATATTCCATCCAGAGACCAAATTCCCACTACAAAAATCCCGGCTATGTGATCAAATGGCCTCTGTCCAAACTCTTCCAGCACTGAACACATTACTTCCTGAGGCAGCCCCTTCATTGTTAATATGAGGCAAAGAAAGGTCTTCCTTAAGTTGAAATGATGTCCCTCTACATTTTCCATTTATTCATCTTAGCGCTCACCTCTGGAGCCACTCAGTACAGGTTTAATCCACTTCTCATATGACAGTGCCTCAGATATTTGGAAATAGCTACTGGGCCCCTTCTGTGTCTTTTCTTTTTCAATTTGAATACTCCCAGTTTCTTTGGTTGGTGGTCATGTGACAGGGCTGCATGACCTTCACTCTCCTGTGGACACAGTCCATTTGTCAATATCTCTTGTTAATTCCGGTGCTCAAAACAAATGCAATATTCTAAGTGTACCCTGACCAGCACAGAGCACAGAAGGATAGAGCTTTGTTCCTTGTGAATAGAATATTAATATACTTTTAGATCATTTTGGCTTATTGAGAGCATGATACCTTTCCAGCCTTACACTGAGCTCACAGTTGTGTCAGGTCTCCCTATTCTGTATTTAGGAGTTTGGTATTTCAGATCAAGTCTAAGACTTCTAATTTATTCATGTTAAATGTCATATTTATTGCATTCATATCCTCCAAGCCTGTTATTTTTTGGATTCTGATTTTGTCACCTAACGCTTTTGCTCTCTCTCCCAGTTGAAGTCATTCAGTAATCTGCATGGCTCTTTGTGTATGCTTGTTACTAATCCCAAATATACTAACTTAGACAGTGCTGAAACATTTTGATTATTGTCCATAAGTCTGCTTGAAGGATTTTGAAAATAGTAAAGAGAAAATGTGTAAGTTCTTATTCTTTAGAATTAAACCAATGAGATTAATCAGACTTTATTCATATATAGACCAACAGAAGCTAAAAAGCCCACTTATATTTTTGCATGCTTATAAACGAAATCAGTGTACTTATTTGTTTTTTCTGAGCAGATAAACCATTTTGTAGTATACAGGATGATAAGATTTTGTGTTTGCTTCAATCAGTTGCTTATAAATGAAATCAATGAACTTATTTGGCTTTTCTGAGCAGATAAACCATTTTATAATACACAGGACGGTAAGATTTTGTGTTTGCTTCAGTCAGTTTGCTAATTTCAAGGCATCTGGGTGTACAGTGCAAAACATACAGTTATTTTAGAATTTAATGCAATCAGCTGCTCTAAGAGATATTGTGACATTTGAAATGTCATCACCTCCAAGCAGATTTAATGGGAACCAGGTGGGCAGGTTGCTGGCACCTGGATGCTTTCATGGCACACCTTCATAAAAGCACTGCCTAAAGTAAGAACACATCCTCAGTGTAGCTATTTAGCTTGGGATCACATAACAGATGGAGAACATATCACACTTTCGAAGTAAGTGAGAAAGCTGACATAACAGCTCTAACCACATTTTACCAAGATGTACCTGATGACTATGGAGTAAAAAACAGTTCATTTTAAATATAAATGGTATGAGTTATTCCTATCATGTGTATTAATGGTGTCACAGCTGCAGTCCATACTAAATAAAGATTCAGAAAAATATCCAATTGATCTAATCAAGCTAGAAAAATCTCACCAGATAACTTGAGCTTTGGCTAGATAATTGTATTATTTTCACTTCACATTTTGTCTTGGTATACAGTTATTACTTTGTTAATATTGATTTGGAAAATGGTAAAAAAGAATTTAGAAATCAACTGGATCAACTTTACAAAGGAAACACAAACAATAAATAGTTAACAAACTCAAACAGTTGTCTTGGTGATCTTGACTTGAAATCTACAGAATCTCTAAAGATACCCTCATATTACAAAATTAATTCATAATCTTGGTGTAGAGCTTGAAATCCATGGGATTCTATGTGTATACAGAAAAACCATACATTTATTTACTTTCCAAGTGGGTATGGAATAATAAGTTGATGACATCAATCTGTAATAACTAATAAGGTTCCATTATCTGAAACAAGGCACAAAAGGAACTCCTTTTTCCAAATTCCTTTGTCTGCATTCTTCATAGTATGTTTAGCCTAAATAAAGTCTACGGTATAGGCGATCATGTGCATAACTAAGAATGAATACTGAAAAATGTAAAATGTTATCATAAAGATTTGGTCAAAGTTTTTATAAGACTGGAGAACTGTCATTAATGAAATTGGTTTACTTAGAGGAATAAAAAATGAAGATGGGAATATT